AGTGGGTTTGTATTCAGATCGGCTTGGTGGGTTTTATTCTACTCTGTTCCCCATTGACAGCTGGGAATTTGCATCTAATTGGAAGGTTTAATTGCGCTGTCATTGCATACCACAGTTACCTTTGAACTTCTTGCAGATCAACAAGTCGCACGGATGGAAAAACTAGCCGGTCTGGTGGAAGAGCTGGAGGCAGATGAGTGGAGGTACAAGCCAATAGAGCAGCTCCTGGGATTCACTCCCTCCTCGGGCTGAGCGTGTCTGGATCACTGCTGAGCAGAAGAAAAACATTCTCTGGCCCAGCTTCAAAACACACCCCCATTTATCAGGATGCTGACAGCTGCATCAGCAGGACTGGACTTTCTTTTTTTTCTTTATTTAAAGTTGAGAGTGGGGATCTCCCGTTAAAGCTGCCAGTAAATGGAAATGACTGGATCCTTTAAATCATCTGCGGCGTTACAGGCTGGCAGGGCTCAGTTTCTGTAACTTAGAAGCTAGGATCAGTTTTACAGAACTCAGAGAATCACCTCATTGTGTACAGGGGAGGGAAGACTTACAGTGTGGCGGCAGGGAAAGCAACCCAGTAACTCAGTCTGGCCTTTCCCCGGCGTGTGGCCGAAGGACTAGGTGATCTGCAGGCTGGGAAACCTTGCATCTTTGCCACTTAAGCTGGGCCTGTGTAGAGCAGAGGTACAACACCCTGCCAAAAACGCTTTTCGACCCTAGCCATTGTTTTGGAGGACAAAACAGGAGGAGAACTGTCCTGGGTGGGTTGAGAGGGGGGCAAGCGGTGACGCTTTATCGTCCCTCGTATATCGCTGAAGCTGTTTTCTCTGTGTTGCTGTTTCTCTTGCGTCTGCACAGCGAGTGCTGGTAGAACACTGTTCTCCCGTGCAGCAGCTGTATCTTTAATACCCTGAAACTCTTTTTCCTCTTTATTGTGTATTAGATTGCTCTGTGATAATAAAATAATTCTGTCTCTGAAAAGGTTTATCTTTTCAAAGGTTGCTGGCGGGGAGGGAGGCTGATGAAAGAAACGGTCAGCTGTTTGGTAGGTAACAGGAGGTTTAAAGGAGCTCCGAGGCAGCGTGGCTGTTACGATGGTCAACTTCGGTTCAACCAAAAAAAAACTGAGAGGAACCAAACCGCACTTGCTTTACGCTCAAAAATGGATTGATTTGAAATCAGATTTTAATCCTGGTTTAACTTTGCCAGCAGAAACCCCTTATTTAAAGCCATCCATTTTAATCATCTTGTTTTTCGTTTGTACTTCACTTACGTTCTTGAAGGGAACTGGCTTTCCATTTTCTGGCATAACCATTTCAACATGTTAATTTTCCATTGACGAGAGCCTTAGCACCACATTTTTTGCTAACCAGCAGGGGGATAGGCTCAGCACTGTACTTAAGCAATTGCAGGACTTATTGCTCCAGATGCCCAATTCTTCCATTTTCAACATCTTATTTACGAGATTTTTTTTTTTTTTACTCACTATTTCAGTACAGCCACATCTGGATTGAAATGGATTACTTTGAATCCATCCCAGTCTTAGTTATATCACCAGCGATTTGCGTTAGCTAAAACTAAGGGGAAAAAGTACACAGACAGTTCTGCTGTTGCTTCTGTTTATAAATTAATTCTAGTATCAAGAGTTAGCTTTTTGTGACCCAGAACCATGCGCCGCCCAAAAACCAGTCCCGTTTTGCAGATGAAACCCCAAGTTCCAGCTCTTCACCCATGGAAATTCACTGCACGGTTTCTGAAACCGCGTACGGGCGTTCTCACGTAAGGCTACAGCTCAGCCCAGACATCTCCCACGCCGGTGCATGGCCCGGAAAATCTCCTCCCCAGCCCTGGAGGGCCGCCAGCCCCTGCTCCACAGGGGCCCTCCTGCACAGTAAAAGTGGGTCCTCAGCCAGTATCGCTTTAAACGTGATGCCATTCGGTATTAAAACTCCATCCCAGATTGGGGTTATTTTGAAAAGAAGGGAGCGTTTCAATTGCCAACTTGTTTGGTTTATATCGCCTATTTTTTTAATCCTCCTTACTCCAGCCACCTAAACTTAACATTGGCCAAACTTGCCAAAAATACCCCCTGTATCAAGACAACATTGCGGGGTTTTAGGAACGGAGCTGTGCGCCTTCTACTGCTGACCGTGCCGTAGCGCCTCGAATCCCCCTCGCACCGAGTCCCACCCGCTCGCTGACCCTACGTGCTGCAGCCGGCGTAATCAGATGCAGAAAGAGCCTTTCCTTTTTACTGCTCAATGCCAAACTTTTCCACTCCGCCAGCCCTCCGGGGACGCCGGGGGATCGGCGCCTGCGGCTCTGCCGACGGGATGCAGTGCCCAAGCATTGCCCAGATCTCCCTGCAAACCCTGGCGTGCGCCAAAGGGACCGAAATGCGGTGGGGCTGAGATTTCCCCAGGGCAGCCTCCCCCTCACCCTCCTCCCAATTCTTTGTTTTCCAGCCGTTTCTCGGCGGCATGCCGGGCTCGCGGGCTGGACGGAGCAGGAGCAGGGAACGGCCCCGGCTCTGTGCCGTACATGGCTTGTTTGTACGTGCGCCCAGCACCAAAATAGACACATGTGCGAGAGCCATTGAGAGGAAGTGAAAAGTTCAGCCTGTACAGTACTACAAATGCAAAAACATGTTGTTGGCCGTTCCCTCCTCCCGCTCAGTAAACACTTTATGTAAGGCGGCGAAAACCAGAGGGATTGCTGCATGGTAAAATGGAAAAAAAACCAATAAAACTAAAAACCCTGCTCTCCCCCTCCTCCAAATGCAGCTTTTCCCTGGCAGCTGGAAACTCCCCAGCTGCCCTATTTTTGCTTTGCAGATCTGTGGGGCAGAGCTGGAGGTAACTATTCCTTCTTGGGGTTTGGAAGCTCCGTTCCCCCTCAACCTCAGGGGTCCCTGCAGCATCACCGGGGGCTTGGTGAGCAGCTTGGGGGCTATTAGGAGGCTGCAGCTGGGAGTGGAGCAGCAGGGGGGAAGGGAGCCCATCAGCCCCGAGCAAAAGTTGATGCGGGGAGGGAAAACTTAAAAAAAAAAAAAAAAGCTGAACAAAGAGCTCTGTTCAGAGCTGCTGGTTGGTTTTCCTGTGGGTGCTCGCAGCAGAACGTTATGTACCGGCGCGCAAGCCCCGCTCGCACCTCCCCTCCCCGGCTCCTTGAGCTGCTGGCCGCGGCCCCAGCACCGGGGACGGTGCCAAGGCACGCGCTCAAACTTGCCGCCCGGCCAAAACACCCGGCTGGGGAGGGCCTCTCCCTCCTGCTGAGGCTGCTGGAGCGTGGGGCAGCACCCCGGCAGCCCCCCCAAAAGAACACCGGCTCCTGGCTTTTGCCTGGGATGGGGCAAGATCCTCTAAGGGGAGATGAATTTCACAGCCTCCACCCTGCAAACGGCACGGTGCCGACCCGGCACTCGGCATCTCAGCTGCCAAAACCCATCCAACCATCCTCCTCGGACAAACGTTCCTTGTTTCTCCATCCAACTCCTGCACATCGTTGCGGGCAGGCAGACTGCCTGCAGCTGCTTGTCCCCGGAGGCGGGAGATGGGCCCAAAAAGTTTCGGCTGTGGCGAGAGATCTGCCCGGACAGCAGCACGCCGGGACCTGCCAAGGCATCCCACCCAGCCTGCAGCCTTCAGCTCGCCTGTTAGAGCCGGCCACGGGCTCAGCGCAGTGGCGGAGGATGCGCGGGGTCACCCCTCGTGTACCCATCACCCCCTGCCACGACTGGGGGCCCGATGGCTGAGGATGCGGTCAGAGAGGGTTCAAAGGACACCCACCCTGCAGGCACTTAGGGGACACACCGAAAACCGCTGTCTACCCCCAGCCCAGCCCCTTCCTTACGTTCCCCATGTGAATGCTTGGACACGGAGTATCACACC